CGGAAATCCGTCTCAAAACTCCGACTTAACACCCCACCAATCCCATCGGCCACCGCTAAAGAAATGGTAACCACTCAAATTTGCCGACATCGAATTTCCGACGGAATAAGCTTCGTCGGTATGCGCTGCCCAATCAAACTTTGCCAACATCGGAAAAATCGGATTTCCGTCGGGATGCCGTCGGAAAGTCGTCAGAATATTACGACAGTTGATTTCCGTTGGAAATCCGTCGGAAATAACCGACGGATTTTCGACGGTTTACTTTTGGTCGCAATTCCATCGGAAATTTCTGACGGTTTACTTTTGGTCGCAATTCCGTCGGAAATCCGTCGGAAATTTCCGTCGGAAATGTTGCTGTTTTCTTGTAGTGAAACTCCTTCAGAATCACACACCTCTCTCTCTCTAGTAACAACTCAAACTCAAAAAAAACCCCAAAATGGCTCACTGGCTACCATCCTTAGTCGTTGCACTGACATTCACAAGCCTTTTTGCCGGTCTCTCAGCTCGTCGCCATCTTCTCCAATCAATACCAGCGACTCAGCCACCGGTTACATCGACGTTGCCTCCTCTTCCCAAAACCACAATGCCACCATTTATGCCTCCTTCTCTTCCTCAGCCAACTCTTCCTCAACCTACGGCGTTTCCTCCATTACCGAACACGCAGATACCAACTTTGCCTAACCCAACACAACCCATTAGTATCCCAAACTTCCCACAAATCAACATTCCTAATTTCCCAATTTCTATTCCGAACAACTTCCCATTCAATCTTCCCACCAGCATTCCTACCATCCCATTCTTCACTCCACCACCTTCCAAATGAGAGCTCTTTATTAGCTACTGCCACACAACACATTACTATCTTTGTCTCACACTTTGTTTGATTAGTTCAATGTTTGTAATGTTCTTATTCTTTTGCTTTTGTTTGATGTTGTTCTCCTTCTTGTTGTTGTTTTGGTCTTTTCTGCCATGATTTAGTTGCTTTTGTAATATACAGAGCTTTATTTGATTGACTAGTGCTTGCTTTCTTCTTTCTTCTTTAGCCTTGTTTTCGCTTGACTTCTGCAACAGTAAACTACTAAGGATTATCATCCATGAAGTTCCCTGAACTGTTTGGATAAACAACGCATTTGAATATTCCATGCATGAGATATTCTCATAAAAAAATAGGAAGGCCTTTTTGTTGCTTAGCAATAAACAAAACAAGGGAAATGACAATGTTACCTAAGAATTTAGGACCCCGATTTTTGGTTATCCAAAAAAGAAAATAATACTACTTTGGAAAAGTTGCTCAACAATTCTTAGTCAACGTTAATGCTTTTAACGGGGGAGCTATGAGATTCGATAATAAATAGTGAGATTTATTATTATTTATGCAAATTTACGGAGACATATTTATATGATATTTTTAGTATTGTGCAAAATGAAATTGTCGATATAACAGTTTTCCAAAATTCGTAATAGAATAATAGATCATTGTTAAAAAAATCAAATTTTAATAGCATCATTTAAGGAAATCCCATAAACGATGTTGTAGCCAAAAAATATTGTTTGATAATTTTTGATGCAAAATGTATTTTTAATGCAAAATGATTAATTACTTAATTCTTGTTTTGATCGTTATTATAAAATAAGGTCGTTGTGGAATCTAAATTCCGCACTGAATATTTGTATGTAAATTCAGAGAAAAAAACTTTGGTCCTAAGAAATATCTATAATTCAACGATAAAAGAAGAGTAAAGCGGAGCTGAATTTATATTGATATGAATCAAATATACAATAAGATCTCGAATCAGATGTATTACAAGCTGAAATGTAGTGTTTAAGCTCTCGCGTGAGTCAAAAGTTGGCGAATCTGCTTGGACTTCCTGTATTTATAGCTCAATTCAGCTCCTCGATCCAGCTCCACGTATCCAGGTCGGTTCCGCGTATCTCGGACATATTCTTGGCATATTCCCCCGCAAGTCTCACTGTGCTAACCGTCCTGTTGACTCGTTCTTAGCTCGTCAGCTCTGCTTGTGTTGACTCAGCGCTCGCAGGACTAACTCGGACCTTTGATTGAATTCTGTCTTTCCTTTAGGGTTGGGACGCATGCCTATTATTCTGTCTTTAGTGAATCGTTTTGACTCGGACTTTCAGTGGACCGGATTCGGTGACGAATCAAGCTCCCATAATTCTGATTGTTAATTTATAGGTTTTGTTGTAAAATTAGTGTGCATTGTATCTTTTAAAAAAATTCTCTAAAGAGTTGTAAAATAGAAGACGTATAAGTTATAACATATTCTATAATCTTAAAAAGTGGAAATTTGAAAAGGTCACGTCACACGTGCGAGTTTGTAAGAAGATTTGAAACGGCTTTCGCTTGGCGGGAAAGGTGTAAAGTCATTAGTCAACTCTTTTTCAGACCTTTTTTGGCCCAAAATGCCCTCTTAGGACCCAAGACGAGTTCTTTAACCAAATATTTCAATCGTGCTTTTATTTATTTAGTTTAATCAATAATTATATATAGATGATTTTTCACCTTCTTTGTTGCGTAATTCAATTGTTTTTTTTTGTCTATCAAATAAAAAGTCAATGATGGTAACTGTTTTCGCGCCGTAGTACAAGAAGGTGTTAAAAAAAAAAAAATTACATCACAATTATTACTATTATTTTCGCAATTAATTTCAATTTAAATACTCCATTTTCTTTAATTAATTACCAAGTAAAACCCATTTTCTTACAAAAATATTCAAAAGGAAGACGTGCAGTGGCGTTAAGGGCTGTTTCTGCTTCTCTCTCTGACTCTCTCTCTTACCATTTGATCCGGATCTGTGAAAGAAATGAGATTTTCCCGATGAGGATTCCGTTTTGCTTCTGGTTTCCGACAAATCTAATCTAACAATTTTGACCTGGTTTTGTAAGATTAATTAATCTCTTGTGTTTCCAGTTAATGATTCTGTAATCGTCATGCTTACCTTCGCGATCGCTGTGATCGTCTTCTTTGCCCTCGTTTGGGCTTTCTTCAAGTATGTTCCCT